AGCAATAAACTTTAACTTGGCAAATTCGCAGATGCAGAAAGAAAAGCAAGTCAAATGCGAAGAAAATGGCTCGAGGTCCTTAAAAGATTTGATGGCTTAAAATGTCTGCTACAATTCGGGTGGAGCATCTTTTCTCTAAGTTCTTTCTAGAGACTTCTAACTTCAGTTTTAATGTACACAGCATTATATGGTAGTTTTATAGTGGTGGGATTGAATTTATCAGCACTTTGTTGCATTTAGCAGTAAGACGTTGCATTTTGGTTTCTCTTATTATTCACCGAAATAGTAAGTCCCTTTTATTTAAAAATTGTATTCATATTTCATAGTGAAGCACTCAAGGCTAACTGTAAATATATTTTAATTTCCTCAGCTCCACAAACATGTATTAAAAATATGATTAGTGCTCTCTCTCGAAAAGGACAGCTCTGAGACAGGAAGGTGGAATCAAGGGCCTGTAGCGCATATGTCAGAGAACTGGCAAACGCCAGCCTGCTTCCCAGCAAAGCCACCTCAGCCTGGCACTGCCCTCGGTTGCTGGCTTGCGGTCTGCTCTTTCCAGATTTCTAAGGTGAGCCGGCTCTACAGAATCTTGTTCTTAGGTGGCAGCCTTCATCTCTTTGCTTTTTCCTCTCCCTCTTTCCCAGCAGTGACAGTGATAAAGTCAGGAGCCAAAGATTAATTTGAATGTTCTTTCTGTGGCAAAGGACCCCTACACCTAAGATGCAGCCTTTCCTTCTCAGGAAAAGTGAAGAATTTATCAGACCCTACCACTGGCTCTCATCTTTCCACCATCCACTTACAAAATTGAACTCGGATGGATTTTTTATTAGGGGAGTGTTAAACAGCCCTGAAAGCCTTCACTGGCTCCTTGGTTTCCTCTTTGGGGGCTCCGTATGATTTATTTCCAGGGAGCAGAATTAGTCTTGAGGTTAAACGGAGGCTCCTGCATTATTACTCTCGTGTATGCACTAAGCTTTGCATCCACACCCAGGCCTCCTTCTGTCTCAGATCGTGCTGCGCTCCCTGTAATGCCCAGGGTATTTGCCACGTATCCTGGAGGAATGATGATCTTTGAAGTTCCTAAGGGGCCTTCGCTTAAGATAAAAAATTGCTCTGCCACCCACTTGTACGGGCTCTGATTTCTTAGCCTTTAATCACCGTGTAAGCCCGTTCTCTGGATGTTTTAAGATCAGTTGAAGTGCATTCAGCTTAATCATATTTTTCCAAAGCAGGTTAGGTACCCTGACGGCCCTGCTGGCTCTATCCAAGAATCTGCTTGTAGTAGTAGTATGGGACAGGCCAGCCTGCAACAAGGGCCTGTGTGCCACTCCCTCGGGCCCTGCATTCTAATCACTGATCAAGATTCAAGACATTTCAAGGATATAGACCTGGGTTTCAGCCATGTTCATTTCCATTTTATTATAATGTACGTAAGAATTATAAATAACCAGATTGATTAGGGGCTCCAGAAAGCCAAAGAGTGGGGGGCAGTGTGGAACCATGCCAACTGCACAAGCTTTACCTTCCCATAGACTAGGCTCAACCTCCAGTTATGTTTCTTACTAGCTGTGTGACATTGGGAAGATCACTTGGCTTCTCTGAGCCTTTCATTCTCTACCTTTAAAATTGTAATTGCGGTAATTATCTGTATAAGAGCTGGTATTGGGATGCAAACAATGTATGCAAATAGTTTAGCATTGGGCCTGTGACTACAGTGTATTGAACAACAGGGCCCAACAGTGCTTTAACACACGAAGCACACTAGATTATCAATTATCTGTCACTCGTGTGATGAGTAGTGTGGAGAGGCGAATAAAATTTGGACTCTATTTTCTGAAAAAGTTAATAACCCAGTTACTAGTTAAAGACTAGCTGGGAGCCCACAGAAGTGAAACAGAAGCTAGACACAAGCTCTCCCACCTGCTGTCCATTGTCACAGCGTCAAGTCCATACCTGAGACCTACATGGCCTTCGTTCCTGACCCATGAGCTACCCCCGAACGAATGACTGATGGTAGTCAAGGCAGTAGCATTCAACACTCACTCAACAGTATTTATTAACTCACTCTGCGCTGGGCCCTGGGCTAGGTGGTGGGCATGGCAGCTTGCCTGGGTTTGCTTTAAGAAGCGCCCAAGGGCTGTCTTGAGCATTTCATAGGAATTAGTACTTTTACTCTTAACAAAAATCAGGAGGAAACTAGGGACATCAACGTCATTTTACAGATGAAGAAACTAGAGAGGTTAAGCGACTTGTCCAAGGCCACAGGAGCAACGCACAGAGGAAACGAATTAGAACCAGCAGAGAGGGCCTAGGCTGCCCAGCAACCCAGCAGCTCCTGCTCTCCCTGACGAGGACTTCTCATTCCCATGGCTTAGTTCCTCTCTGCTTTTCCATGATAGATTCCCTGGATGATGGGATCAGGGCCTCACTCTTTCCTTTTCATACTGAAGTCTGCAGAAGGGACTAAAATGGCCCTGTGAATACATAGGGCTTTCACTGACTGTGCCATCAGTTATTATATTTAAGCCAATCTCTCTCTTTTGAGTAAAAATTATAAACACCTAGGTACATTAAAATACCTATCTTAGGAGGGGTTTACTTCCCATAATCTAATAAGACAAATTTTAACTTGCAAGCTATTGCAGCCTTTGGAGTATTATTGAAATTATCCTAGACACAAATTACTTATAGAATTGAACTGTCACTTTACAGTAGAATGAAAATGAATGTGCTCTTCTTGATTTCCACACTTGGGCATAAATTCCTTTATGGAAAACATAGTGAAATTTGGAAGGCTATGGTCTGAATCTTTTTCTCTACCTCTTGCAGTAAAAGATAAAGATAAAGAACACAAACTGGCAGTAATGGAAGAAGAATGCTTACTCAGAGCCTAATATCATTTCCTTTCCCAGTTCTTTCACTGTTCGAGAAAGAATTGGACACAGAGAAAAAAAAAACCTGTCTTATATTTGCAAATGGAAAACATCATAAAAAAGAGAAATGACCTCTAAAATAGTTTCAGCACATAAATATTTTTCAGGCATGGGGGCAATCTTTCATTATGCTCTTTCTAAAATCTAGACCATCACAGGCACACAGCAGATAGCAGACCAGGTGCTAAGTGGTGTTCATGGGTAGCAGACGACATACAAAAAAAAAAAAAAATCACTCCCTTGAAGTTAAAAATCAAAGAGCCTCAAGAGCAGCCTCACAAACACGCCAACGGGAGATCTCACACATGTGTGATGGAGGCCATCCAGAGAGGCTTGTGCTTCCCAGGGGTTGTGTTGAACAATGACAAATTACAAAACCCCAATGTGACGTGTTGGCGCGCACACACACACACACACACACACACACTCGTGAGCAAAACTGCCAAAGTTCTCCAAAGCCAAAGTTTAGGGGAACACGTGTCATGGATACAGTAACAGTCATTTTGAAATCACTGCATTTACGAGTCCATTCCTCATCTCTGTTAGCACTCTGGCACACTACTTAGGAAATAACAGAAAGAGAGCTATGAGACTAAAGACAAAATTTAATTATAAAACAAAGCCACCCACCTTGCTTTCAGGGTCAGGAAGCACAGTGGCCTTCTTTTGCAGCAAGAATCAACTTAACACCAGTGTGCTACATGATCGCGCATCTATTGAAAAGAAAAGGAATTAAAAAAAGAAAGAAAGAAAGAAAGCAAAGCTGCAGCATCTTAGTCTTTCTAATTACAAGCCTTTACCAAAAATTTTTAAAAATCTAACCATAAATGCAGCACATACTGTGGCTCTCTGGTAGAAGGCAGAAAGCAGAGTCCTCAGCTCATGTTGCCTATTTTGCAAAACAAAACAAAACAAAACAAAAAGGCAAGAGGAAAAGTGGTGTTGGCGAGAGGTGAAGGATCTTAAAACCCCGTGCGACCTCCTGGGTCCCTCCTGACGCCTTCAGTGTGGGCTGTAGAAGTCAAGTCGCAAGCTCAACACCAGTGTCACCACCGTCTGCTTAAATGGCACAAAAGTACACTTAGAAAAGAGGAAAGTGACTGACAACGGATGCGCTGAGCCAGCCCCACTGTCACTACGAACAGCCTTAAATGCCCACACAAGGAGAATAAAAAGAAAAGCACATTTTGCAATAGAATAAATTCTTTTTTTTTTTTTTTTTTTATTGAGACCGCGGAAAGTCACATGACCCTGGACGTAGCCTTTTAGGAAAGCAACCGACACGGTAAAGAAAGGAGCGGGGCTCCCTCCTTCCGCTCGCAGTCTCTCAGCCCGTCCTGCCTGCGTCCCCGTCCTTCTGGGCGCATCTGTGGAGCTATTAAGTGGGATAATCCCTCTGGCCTTTGATACATTTCTGGACATGATTATTTCATTACTCGCAGTATATCAGTAGGATCATAATAAAAAGGACTTCTGACAACCTGCCAAGAGTTTTGTGGCCTTGTAAACACAAAAGTGCTCTAATAAAATTTTATTAAGTGTTAAAAAGTCATAAAAAGTGAAATAACATAAACTACAAAATTTACTGTCCTCAGCAAATGCTGAAAATATCGTCCACAGTAAAATTAAATTAGCATGTAATAGACAGAGAAGCAGTGTCGAGTGGATTTAAAAGAGGATCCAGGGAAAATGACACTGTAACCCAATCCAGGGTCACGGGGATTTAATTCGGATTTTTCTCCGTAAATGTGAATAAATGTGCTGATTACAGGCAAGAGCTCCGGCGTTGCTGGAGTCTCACACACTGTCAATACTTTGGAAGAAATAATATATGGCAGATTGTAACGCGCGCCTGGAGAGGCGCGGACGTCCGGGGGGAGGCGGCGAGGGGCAGGGTGTCCACTAGGGCGCGCTGCGAGACCGGTAATCCACGCCGGGGCGCCCACGCCGCCCGAGCCCCGCGCACGCCTCGCCCGAGCCCCCCTCGAAGTCATTTTTACAGTGAGTCCCCCTCCCCCTCTCCTGTGACATTTTTCCAAATCGGAAGAAAATGAAGTGTAAGTCGAGCCTTGCCTCAGGCAGCTCTTGGCGCCTGCTTTCAGATGGGGCGCGCAGGAGTGGGATGCGCTGTCTCCGGGCGATGCTCACCCGCTGGGGGCTTGGGGGCCTCCCTCCCTCGGCTAGCGCCCCGGGACTGGCCGTCCCGCCCAGAGAGGCCGCAGGGCCGGCGGAGCCGAGTCCAGCTGCGCGCCGGGCGCGGGTGCACTCGGACGGCGCCGGTCACCGGCCGCGCGGGTTCAAGTGCGCTGGCCCCGGCGCCGGACGCGGGCCAGGTCCTCCCTGCTCCGCCTGGCTCCGGAGCTCGGAGCGTCCGGCTGGCCCAGGGACCCCTCTCCCCGCCTCCAGTCGCGCGGGGCACGGACGCGCGCACTTGGCTTGGGGTGCGGCGGCGAGTAGCGCGGGCGGGTAGCGGGATCCCGCGCTTCCAGGCCCGGCCGGGTTCCCAGCTCACGCCGCAGGGACTTTTCCCGGCCCACGGTGGAGGCTCCGCCGGGGAAAGAAGCCCAACTTCCTCCAAGCCGCCGGAGTGTGCGCTGCGATCGGCAGGAAATGGCCGGGACGCGCAGCTTGCGCCTTGGCAGTGTGCCCTGGCTTTGCAGAAGAAAAGCATCTCCACCCAACTCTCCCCCTCTCCCCAGAGCCCCGCGCAGGTTTGTAAAGAGAGATGCAAGGTCTCAAAAGTATTTATCTTCCAGGGAAAAAGATGTTGGTTACAGTGCCCAGTGAAAGTCGAGTGCTTTTGTAGCTGGAGAAGATCGACGGGCCAGGTCTTCCTTCGCAGTTCCAAAATGATGCTAACGCTGCTCTCCGGAGAGTCCGTATCCCTGTGTTAATTGGAAGTTAGTGAAATGGGAAATAAATGAGCAGTGGCGCGTTTCATGGCATCATTTCTCCTCGGGGATGGCCAAGCTTTTAAGCTGCATTTAAGCATTAGTCACTTTTTTATGTTGTCAGAAAGTAAATATTTTTAAGTGAACCCGATAGCAAAGCCAAAAAGAGGTAAGTAAAAGTTACCACGTTTGCGCCTCCAGTTTCCTTTGGAGGTTTGTACAAGTTACTAGGGTGAGGACGCTTTGCAGTTTTAAATTTCCGGATGGCAAGAGCATTTGAGTCTAAGGTGGCAAGGTTGACGTTCAAGGGCAAATGTCTTCAGGGATCTCTTCATAAGCAATGTTCACTTAATGGTTCTAGCTTGAAATAGATGTAACCTGCAGTGACAATTATATCCCCCTGTTTTTGATGTATTTTTTATAAATGGCATGAGAAAGGTGCTTAACAAATTTTTAATGACTGTCTATTGTCATTTACAAAGTACTGCATTGAATTTGAAATAGGCTAAAACAGAAAGCAAACAAGTCAATTTAAATGTGGTTTAACATTTGCTGTCAAGGGCTTTGAGAACGGTAGAAACAGAATTAAAAGGAATGGATACAAATAATAGAATTCCACGTTTCTGCCCCTGGCGTGGGGCAGGTGAGTTTAGGACTTGCCTGTGAGTTAGTCCCTGCAGACAGCGTTAGATGAGGATCGCCTTGGGAAATGTGGGACTCACACACGTGTGGAAATACAGAAGCAACCCTTGTACTACTGAGAGTGTTCCCAGTAGTTCAAGCTAAAAGTTTTGTACTTAAAAAGTTACGTACGGTAAACGTTTCTTCATTGATTTCTGGAGCTCAGCAGGCAACTTTATACTTGCATTATTTTGATTTGTGTTTACATTTCAGACTGAAATTCATCTGGTTCTCAAAAAGGTGTTTTCAGAAACACTAAAACATCACAACTGTTATTTTCATCTCTTTCCAGGCAGATATATGATTGCTGTAAGTAATCTTTTGTAAAGTTTAAATAGGATTAATGTCACCTGACTCAAGGCACTTAATGGAGAGAAAAGTATTTCAAAACCTGTAAATACAGTCTCTAAAATTGTTAGATCGTGTGTTCCTATAAAGAAACTTGAGAAGTTTTCCATTTTCATGAGCATAAGGACATGGTGTAAAGTACTTCTCTCGCATCATGTTACCTCCCAAAAATAAAAAAAAATATAAAAATCTATTTTCAATCATATAGTAATCGAGAATTTAAAAATTGTACACTTCTGTTAAGATGGTGAGCATTTTTTAATGCATTAAGAAGAGAGAACTTCTCTCAGACCCGTACATGTTTAAAGGACTTGAGAAAGGCAAGGAGTTTATAAACACATTTTACTACTGAAATTTATGACCATTAAAATATATGGTTAATTATAGTCTAAGTAGTAAGAGCATTTTTTTCCCAACAACTTTTTAACCTCTGAAAAATTGGATGTGTATTTTAGTTTCTTTCTCTAGAAGTTCCAAATATTTACTTTATCAGCTATATGACAAAAAAAATTACTGGAATTTATTCCATTTTATCAACTGTATTAAGAAGCTTGCAAATGTCATATGTGATTCTTCTCTTGATAGACATGTAATAAATTTGAACATGTGCCTTGTTGAAAAAAGAAAATAATTCAAATTTACTTCTCTCTCTACCTTGATGTTTATTCTGGTTTCACTTTACTGTACATACTGATTGCTATCAATTTAGATGTGATAATTTGTAGGAAAATTTTAATACAGTGAAAGTTTTATATGGAAGAACATATATTGAACTATGAAGTAGCTAATAATCTACTAAAATTAAATCAGGTAGTTTAGCATTCACTGTCTGGATTTTAATTTTAGAGTTAGTTTTGTACAGAAGGACTTTCTTGTGCTCTGTGCTTATGAAGATCTAAAGTATTCGACATTACAACCTCATAACTCAATAAACAGATACTAAATTTATATATTTTAGAGGTCGCTATGGCTAAGAATATGAGAAGCAGACTGGCTTTGGGAAAATAAGCAAACACAAAAAATCCTTTTTTAAAAAATATAAACTCTATTTTAGCCAATTTATCAGTTCTCCAGGTCAGTTTTAAAGCAGCATATTAAAAACTCCCTTTTCCACATTAGAAGTTCACATATTTAAGTTTTCTAAACTGAAAAATCACTCAAATCCAGAGTGTTTTATGTGAAAGGCCTTTTCACGTGTTGGTACCGTCAATTAGATATGAATGCACAAAAATCTTGTTTAAAAAATGGTGAAAGTGAGGAAATTCCAAGTCGAGCTAGCTAATTCCATTCATAATTCACCCAGAATGCCTGCCTCACGAAACTTGCAAACTGTTTATAGCAATACGGACAAAGTAAGTTGCCTTGCTTTGTGAGTGGAAACAGTTCATTTTGGGGCTTGTTCCTTGGAAAGGCTCACCTTGGTAAAAGTACGGACTATGCATTCAGCTTTTCAGTTTCTTTGGAATTTTCCAATCTCAACCTTTTCTGCATTTTGGCTTTTTGAGAATCCACAACATGGAGGGACAACTTTACTTATTCTGAGGGGGCCTTGGCTTTCTCTCGTCCACTTCCTCCTGCTTATACCTCTGCCCGCTAATTCTTCCTAGTCCTGGTGGCGAGAGTGGTGTTGATGCCACTTCTCTGCCCCCTTCACCATCCTCACCCCCAGCCCCCCTTTACTCTGAGCGAATTGGACTGGAATTTAATACTGACACATGGCTCAAACTGCTACAGCGACAGCCTCTAGGACCCTGGGGAATTGGTAAGAAATCCATAGCCTTTGCATTCTGAGCTGGAAAAAATGACTGGGGAATCCCAGGCCCTGACAACAGGCAGCTTGCAGGCCACTTCCCCAACTTTACGCCCTTCTCCATCTGCTTGGTTTCCAAGGCTGCACTGTAGGCTGATGCCTTCCTCTGGCCTTTAAAGGAAGACTTCAGAACTTTTTCAAGGCATTTCTTAAACATTCTGAGGAAGTGTAACTTTAAAGCTGACTAACTTTAAAGGTGAAAACTGCCCCAGGGAGAGTCTTTACCTCTTACTAACTTTAGTCTGATACAAACTCAAGTATCTTTTCAAAAATTTAAAAACACAACTTTCTGGTAGAAAAGCTGCCATCTACTCAGAACAGGGATCCGTAGCACCGACCAATATCCACCAAACACGCTCCATTAAACTGGAACAAACATGACACTGAATTCCTGGCTCCCTGTTTTCCTGAATGTAGGTCATTTTGTGTTCTTACAATTTAACGTTTGAAGGGATTTCCTGTCTTTGAAGTATAGCCGTTTGTCACCTGCTTGGCTAGCCTCCCTAAAAGTTGAGAATCTGTTCCTACTTTGAAAGACTTAGTGACTCCACGGCTCCTGGCTCGGGTTTGTCAGCACACTGAGTAGAGCAGTGGTACCTGCAGCTGGGGGACTCTCTCTCCTTTGCAAGTCAGCGCCTGCACATCCCGGGTTCCAGGCTTCATTCCTCTAGGTCAGAGAGCCTAAAAGAAAACCCCGGGGCCTGCACTCACCCAGTAAAGCCATAAAGAGCTAAGCTTTCATAATGAGGGGCCATATATCAAAACTCAGAGCTTTTTAGAACTGGAGTAACTGGTGTTGGAGCATCCAAGTCTCATGCCAAAGCAAAAAACACCAGCTACTGCCAAATGTGCCATAGTGGATAGAAGCCACAGGAGCAATAAGCCAGCTTGTATTCCTTTCAGACAATGGTTTGACTTTTACTTAAAAGATGCATACTATTTTGTCATATTTTATGATATGGAACCTGCAGTTATATATGTCAGGTGAAAATTGGCCCATTTAAAAAAAAAAAGACATTCACAGAGAGTGTATTAGGAAACAACTGTGGATTGTTTTTAAGAACGATAAGTGAACTTTGTTTTTGCCAAATCATACAAGTACAAGCAAAGTGCTTTGTAAACTGTGGCAAACCTGCAAATGAGAGCAGTTTGCAATTACTTAAATAGCTATTTGCCTTTCCCACATCCACCAGTTTGTCTTGTGTTCCCAGCGTGAAGACTCAACTTGTCCTCAGTTGGAAAAACTCAACCATTGCCTTGAAAGACTGAGCACTAAGGCAGTGTGGCAAGTGGAAGCTATTGGGAGTGATTCCATCTAAAATATTAAGTAAGCATTTCTAATTTTATGAACTTTGAGGCTTTTGTTTTGGAGAATTGGACGTGCATATAGGAAATTAAGATAGTCTGATAAATCAAGCTGGGGAGATGGTGATAGATAGAGTACTTGCTAGCATACAAAAGACCCTGGATTAGATCCTGGAACCATATAAAAGTTCAAAATTGCACATGAGTGGAAGCAATCGAGAATAGATTTCAATCCAGTTCTGATACAAGATCTTGATCCAATACAGAAGAAATGACACTTAAATTGTGTCAGCCTGAATTCTGTTTGTAATTCTTTCACAATTAATTAGAATATCATTTGATGCTTATGCATTTTCTTCCTGTGGACAGGAATCACTCTGACCCATTTAATTTCTCTGGAAGCAAGTGTAGTGTTGGTAACAATCGGTATCAGAGTCAGCCCTCATGGGGTGTGCCCAGACATGAACCAGGTCACTTTCTAGCCAATAGCAGGGGAATCATGTAGAAAACATACATCAGCAAAGCATCTAGCCCAGGGTGCTGCATCAGCCAGAAGGATAGACGCTACCCTGTTGTCTCAGGGGCTTGGGGGATTTCTTCCTACTTCCCTGCTCTTGGGAACTGTAAGTCAACTATATGAGAATAGCTTCTATAGGTACAGAATGGAAACTGTACCCCTAGTCACATACTCCTGCACCTTTCAGATGGGGGAATGTTCTAGTCGTTCCTTGCTTACACCACAGATGATAGGAGAACAAGACAATTTGAACAGAGCCTAGCAGAGCCGCTGAAGATCACAAATCAGCGCACTTAAGACCAATTTGAAGTCACCCAGCTGCTCTTTGTTTTTTTAATTGTCTTCAGTGAAACTCCAAAACCCCCATAATGTCTACCTTAAAAGCATCAGGAGTATTTTAATTGAGTAATAACCATCCATATTTTCCTTCTGATAAAAGGAATTAAGAATGAAATTTTATGATGATTATAAACTATATTACTGACCCAAGGGACAAGAACAATTATGAAAAATATGTCCTATACGTTTGGCATGAATATAAATTTCGACTTTTAAACCATCTTTGAAGCTCAACCATCTTACTAAAGCTTAGGAAATAATATTTATATGATGAAAATAGAGTAACTTATAATCATGATTATTATTATATCATCAATATTGTAGCAGGCTCCATGCCAAGCACAAAACTGACTTGGTCTTTGCCTAATGGGCTTATGCTCAAGATATACTTTTTTTTTTTTGTATTTTAGGACAGGGCCTAAAGGGTTTGCAGGGTCTCACTGCATAGATCAGACTCGTAGTGATCCACCTGTTTACAGCCTCCCAAGAGCTGGGATTATAGGCGTGCGCCACCACGCCCAGTCTCAATCGCCCTCTCAGCACCCTGGGTGCGGAGTCGGCATGGCAGGCCTAGGGATTGAACTCCTAGCCCCTGTGTCTGCTTAAGCTGGCACTTTAATCTACTAGCTGCTGAGCTATTTGGCCGTTCCTTTTTTTTTTTTTTTTGGTAAGGATATATTATTAAAAAGATGAAAAGTAGGGCCCAGAGAGCTCAGTAGAATAAGTATTTGCCTGGCAAGCACAGGTTCCTGAGTTCAATCCCTGGTACTGAAAAAAAAAAAAAAAAAAAAGTGAAAATTTTATGAATTTTGACATTTTTTCCTTCCTTTTTCAATTAAAATTACTAATCAGTGAATGGCAGTAGAAGGTCACTTGTTATTGTTTAGCAAGTATACTTTAGACTGGAAGATCCAAGGACACAAGCACGACTATGTCCTTAAAATTACTAATCATATGGGGAAAAGTTATTTTTGAATAATCTAGAAACTTGCCAAACTTTTAATAATCTAGAAACTGCTCATTATTGTGGGAAAAGCTGATGGAAAGCATTCTAATAACTAGCAGTCAGTTTGAGGACAAGTTCAGCTTACGTAAAGATGTGTCTGGCCCTGGTAGGGGATTTGGCTTGAGACCAAGAATACAGTATTTCTATCTTTGAATTAATGCTACCTGCCAGGTGCCATGACCAATTAAATCTGTGATAAAAAGTTTTTGAATGAATTGAAGATGACCATGGAAATGGACAGTGGAGTATCTATTTGTGTCAGCATTGTACTTCGGCTCAGCTCTTCAAGGGCCTAGCACTTGCCACCCAAACTTACTATATGTTTGCAAACTAAGCCCTTTCCAGTAGACGCTTAACCAGGATAGTTTGTTCCGCTTGAGTATTAGATCTGCCTCTCTTATGACTACATAGAGACTCAGGACTAACCTCTGCCTAGGGCCTGGGTTTGGTCCCGCTTCATTTTGTGACCTTCACAAGTTTCCTTGCTGGTAAAATGAAGTCTGTGATTAATGCCTCCCTGAAGAATTTGTGTGAATATTGAATGGTACTATGTCCCTAAAATACCTGAAACATACTTTGCAGTCTGTGTCCCCCTAAGTTCCTGTGGGGTGAATAAACCTGCACCTTTGTTTGCACAGTTTTGCATTTCTCAACCTTTTAGAGGTTGGTTCAGGGGAAGAGAGAGCATTTAAATGTATGGCTATGATCCCACTTGCTTGTTTACATTCAGAAACACAGCCTGGAACTCAAGTTTGAGATTTTCGTGTTAGTCAGCCCTCCTCCCACTACCACTGAAGAAACATATTTTCATGTGGCACACAAGCATCATTGTCTTTTCATTCTGACTGGTAGCCTCTACCAGACAAGGCAGGTTAAAAACTAACACAAAAGCCTGGAAGTACACTATTTCTGTAAGATTAGGACTTGCTAATTCATTTGGGAATGTAAGGAATGTAATAAAGGGAAAGCATGGATTTCTTTTTCCTTTATTTTAAAAAAAATTATTCTAGGAAATGATTTTTGTATACCAAGATTTATTCCATGATTAGTTTTTATGGCCAAGTTATAGACTCTTGAACATAGGGACAGAGAACAGAACTGCTGACACCCCTGGAGCTAGAGTTCTGTGACTGGCGTCTCCTTGTGCTGTGACTGATACACAAAATAAACTTTAGGATAATTGTCACCGAGGTAGGTGGAAGGGACCTGCTATAATTTTTAAATATGAGTGCACTGTAGCATCTGACGAACTGCTTGCTATAGGTCGGCACTGCTTGACTCACTCATTGCTATCTCTACTGACAAGGCCTTCGTAAAACACCATCCCATTTTCACTGGGAAGATGGCTGCCTGAAAGAAACATCCTGAGACTTTAAACCTGCAAATAAGAAATATCACCCCATTGTATGCTCATCCATTTAACAGTCCTTGATGGCCAATAAGTGACAAGACTGGAAGAATACCCAAGGGAACTAGACATTAATGAATCTGTTCATTATATTAGAATCAGAATGAAACAGAGGGGGGAAAAAAAGGAATGGGGATGATAGGCCATGATACCTCACTCCAGAAATAGAGCTATTTTGATATCTTTCATGACATTATTCTGGGTATCACAATAGCCATAATTAGCCTTGTATGATTTATAGAATTTGCCCAAATTTTACTGAAGATTCTTTTTCAGGTCTTAATGAGTATTTCTGAGGCAGTTGCTTACTTTTGGGTCATATTTGAAATCTGTCCTTAAGTTTATACTTTATAGATGTCAAACCATTTTAGAAGATTTTGTTTATGGCATGAGTCACAAGTAGACAATAGTAAGATTGTAACTGTAAGCCTCGCTGCTTCCCAACTCTCTCTTGTGATCCACAATGTCTGCATGTTCTCATTAAGAAATGTGACTCTGCAGACCCACTCTAATGTTTCAGGGTGTTAGGGTCTTTTCACTGACCCGGATCTAAATTAAATGCTACATTTTTGGAAAACCTTATATATTCTCATCCCTTATCTAGGAAGGTAGGATGCGGGGTCCTGGTGAGCAAGGAAAGTACATTCTACCTCGGGTAATAAAGTAATAGGTTATTCAGGATGGTAGACTTCAAAGAGCTGAAGTGTGCAGTGTGTACCTTAGCACTCTAGGAGATCAAAGGAAAGAAATATCTGCAAGGACGGAAAGAGCTGTGAGAGGAAGCGGACTGTGCTGAATTTGTAAAGGGCAAGTAGCTTTGGCTGCATGAAAAGAACAGTGCCAGCAAGGAGCACCTGGTGGGTTAAAGTGCAAGGACCAGGATGGGCTCAGTGTGTTCCCAGAGCTGTAAGGATCCCAAGAGATTGCTTCATTTGTCCCTCTGTTTCCATTTGTCCAGGTTGGCTGGTTGACAGCTTAGATAGTCTCTGCATGTGAGAACCTATTTCACTTTAGCTTTTTAGCTTCTTTCGAATCCAGTTAAAGCACTGTTCTAATTGTGACACTTCTATAAACCTCCAGGTAACTCCCCAGGGCTCAGTCTCCCGCATACTGCTTGCTGGACCTTCAGGATCTGGCGTCCCCCTCCCTACCTAGGTTCAGGCACCTGGGAGTGCCACCATTACTAAAGCCTTGGCAAATGCCACAGCCTATCTTGCCTCTGGCTCTGCCCCTAGATCCTTGGCTTCAGCATGGCTTCTTCAGGGGAAGAGGCAAGGCCCCACACTCAGCACCTTTCTCCCAGTATCAGTACTGCCCTTTCCGTTTGCAGGCCAGCCAACCTGGAGACTTTGCGTTTTGCTTGCTCACAAATGACCTGGGCCTTTGTTTACTTTGTACTTTATTTTGCAGAGCGATTTTAGATTCACAGCAAAATGAACCCAAAGGTACAGAGATCTGTGATACGCTCCTGTACACACTCAACATCATTCATTATCAACACCTCCACCAGAGTGGTCCACTTGTTACAGATGGTGAACCTACACTGATAAAGCGTCACTGCTGAATTTCCATTGATCACATCTGGGGTTTATGCTTGGTGTTGACATTGTGTGGGTTTGTATAAGTGTGTGATGAAATATATCTACCATTATAATCTTATGTAGAATAGTTTACCTACCCTTTAAGCATCCTTTGTGCTCTGTTGGTCTGTCATTCTTTGCCTTTCAACCTTTTGTTACCACTGATGTTTTA